TCAGATCTCATCATCTTCAAGGTCAGGTTGGATGGGGCTCTGAGCAAACTGCTCTAGCTAAAGATTGTCCCTGCTAACCACAGCAGGGTTGGACTAGATGACCTTTAAAGGTCCCTTCCAATCCAAACCATTCTGTGATTCTATCCTTAACATGAATGTTCCAAATATAAGGTTACTGTTTGAGCCACCACAAAGTCCTCCTTGCTTTCCCACCTGTGGACAGCACACTCCTTAGGGTCCAGAAACCATTCTTATGGGATCCCTGATGAAGAAGAACAAGGTCACCTCTCTGTAGGCTTACATCTACTATAAGAGGTCAGCAGCCCTACTGGAGAATTTGTAGGGGTCCATCCATGGGAAAAACTGACCTCTTCTGGAGGCCATTCTACTCAACCAGGACTACGCCAGGCAGGCTGGCTCCTATTTTTCAGTTTCCCATCACAGTTCAAAAGGACATCTCCAAAAGACTAAGCTACAGTAAGCAGGTAAGCCCTACCAAACCTCTGCTACCCAGCTTCACTCAGAGGAAGCTGAGTGACCATGTGGTTGGACATCCATTATGTGAACCCTTAGCCAAAATCTGATGCATCTGCAGCCCATCTTTTCACATCAACCTTCACCTTCTCTCCCTCACAGCAGGCATGTTATCTCTGAGGGTATTTTTGCAGCCTTCTCAATGTTGGGGACATAGAAGGAGGAGAGTAATCCAGGTCCAACTCTAGAAGTGCTTGAGTTGAGGCATGGGAGCTGACAGGGAACTTCCCTCAATTAATTGAGCACTGTCTATAACTGTCTATAGATTGAGATATGAGAAGACCTCTACAAGAAGAACCCAGACTTAAAACCTTTAAATTATTGAGGGTCTAACCTGTCCAGCTGCAACAGTTAAGCCCACTTAGTGCTAAACTGTCCCTTCTTTTCTCCAGCCTGGATAAAGCCTAGTGTCAATTTTTGCATGGGTTCTGTTGATAAATGAGTGTGCAGAATTTTACTGGAAGTTTCTCTTCCTGTGCAAGTAATTGTAGCTTCCAGCTTTACAAAATCATCTCCTCCAGAGAGAAGAAAAATTTACATGTCACCATTAACATTTGAAATGGTCTGGTTGAAAAATCCAGTTGTGCATTCTAGGAAAATGATGAGGAAGACTACTTCAGTTGAAAATTTTCTCAGAAAAGGTGGGAGTTTCTGGCAAGAAAGATGAAACATTGTTTT